GGTCAGCATTCCTGAGGCAACCCCCCCGGAGGGGGTCATGGTCTAGGCACAGCAACCAAGTCAAAGTGTGTCCTGTCCTTGATCTGCTTTTATTTGTTACTAGAGGCCCAGTACACAAAATTCATGCACTGGAGGGGGGTGTCCCTCAGCCCGGCCTGCATCCTCTCACAGTCCGGGAGCCCTTGGGGGATGTCCGACTGCTGCAGAGGCAGGAGAGGCTCTCGCCACCGCCACTGCGTTTGCCAGCTGTGAGCCTGGCTTCTGGATGAGTGGTGCTCCTCCTGTGGGAGCGCACTGACCACCAGGGAGCAGCTCCTGCGTTGAGCATCTGCCCCCTGGTGGTCAGTGTGCCTCATAGTGACGGGTCGTTCTGCTGTTTGGTCGATTTACATATAGCCTTTTATTATATAGGATTTTATTTTATAAATATATTTTTATTGATTTCAGAGAGGAAGGGAAAGGGAGAGATAGAAACGTCAATGATAAGAGAGAATCATTGATTGGCTGCCTCCTGCACTCCCCACACAGGATTGAGCCTACAACCTGTGCCCTGACCAGGAATTAAACTGTGACCTCCTGGTTCATAGGTCGATGTTCAACCACTGAGCCATGCCAGCCGGGCCTTGATCTGCTTTTAAAATGTATTTTCTTTTTGCAACATGTCCTTCAGTTTCCCAGGGTTTGTAAGAAAACCTTATTTTATCTATAGTTAGTGCTAGGTATCATCAAATAATTGAATTGATACCCATCCCCTGGAAAACTAACCTTTAGACCATTTCACAACCGACATTCCACGTGCTAAGACTGTTATCTTTCCCCTCTGGACTCTCGTAGGATCTGGATCTGCCCAGAGTCCTGCCAGAAAAGCCTGCCTAGAGCCCTTTAAAACTTCTGATTCCCTGTCCCTGGGTGCTGGCACCATTTTGGCACTCAATCCAACTGGTTTCTGGATGACCTAATACATTTATTATTCTTTACCACTTTCAGCCTCGTGCTTTCCTCCTTCGGCGCCCCTAATAGTTAGTAAGGTAAATAGTCATTAAACAAACAAACAAAAAATCATTAAGCAACTGTGGTACAATTCTTATTACGTGCCCTTCCCCGTCACCCTACCCCCCTGACCCCAGAGAGATAATCACTGTTAATGATGTTTATTTTATTCTCCCAGAAAATTATAATACATATTCAGGCAGATATGTGAATGTATGAGATATATATTTCTGAGCTGCTCCCTTTTTTCTCAATAACATCTTAAAGATCTTTCCATATAAGTAGTGGCACATTCTTTTTTAATGGCTACATGGCATTTCATTATATATGTGTTACCGAACTCAAGGAGTGTACTACTTGGGGTGTTCTAGTCAAGAACAAGATGTGACCCTGGCTGAGTAGCTCCGTTGGTTAGAGCATCCTCCTGATATGCCAAGTTTTCAGGTTTGATCCCTGGTCAGAGCGCATATAAGAATCAACCAATGAATGCATAAATTAGTGGAAAAAATCAATATTTCTATCTCTCCCTTTCTACCTCAAAATATCAATTTTAAAAAAATTAAAGATTAACAACAACAACAACAACAACAACAATGAGAGGTGGTTGTTTTATTTACTTGCAGCAAGTAAAGGGCACAGGAGATTCACATTCAAAGCTCTGTCTCCCCAAGGGAGCCTTAGCCATTCCTTATACATACACTGTTTGGTTAATTACACATTGATTTCTTCTTTGCAGTTGGCTGCATTTACCCATTGAGTTCCTGTGAAGCTCCTCCTGTTTACAGCTGCATCTGCAAAATACTGGACTATATTTTTAAACGTTTAACAAGAAGAGCATTTATTAAGAACCACCCTAACTTTAATCCTAATCTTGAGACCCTTGTACTATCTAACAAGTGATTACTTCCATAAGGATTTGCTCTCTTCTGGACACTTAGATTGTTTTTAGCCCTCAACCCACACCCCTTAAAAACACTAGGATCTGGAGTTTTAAAAGCCCCTCCCCCCCACAGCATTTCTTTATTTCTTTGTCCTGCCTCATTCTGCTACAGACTCTTTTGGAAGGATGCTTTGCACATTCTCACAATCACAAAATATTCTCATCCAGGAAAGAGAAGAACCCAATTAGGCAAGTTTTTAGTTTGAATTAACTTGTAAATTGACCGACTAAATCCCTGCAGCTACATATCTGATTGCAGCTAAATGCAAGTAAGTGTTGGAGAAGGAAGGAATTGATTTTTCTAGGTTAGCACTGCAAGATAAGATGGAACTTCTGCATGTACCTTCTTTATATAAGGTATGGCTTTATTAGTTCCATTTGGTGTATTTTCTTTCCAATGCATGGGATGTGCTTGGGACATGGCATGGCTTTGCTATTTGCTTAATTGTGTGATTTTGTACAGGTATCTTCATCTTTCTGGGATAAAATTCCCTTATTGTTAGTCTTGGCCAGTGACACAGGCTGTGGAAGAATTCATAACTGAGAGAAGAGATAGATGTAGTGAGAGGGAGTTTATTTTACTTTTCACAAAGGGGAAGGGCTAGTGCATTCATTGCTAATCAATAAAAGGGCAAGAAACAAAAGATGGTTTCCCCCTTTAAAGGGTAATGGCTGCTGTTGCTAGGTGACAAAAAAGGGAGGAGGATTTGGGGGGCTGAAATTGAGCAGACATTGGGGGGGGGGGGGTTGTAGTTTGTTTGTTTTTCAGGAGAAGTCCGGCAGATGTCCTAGGGAGGTGTTTTATCAGTATTTTCCCCAAGCCTATAAAACATGCTTAGAGTAAAAGTTATGTATATATATAATCTAAAGATGTAAAGTAGAAATTGATAGCCCCTTTCTCACAGTACTAACCCTGTGAAGTTACCAATATAAATGTTTTGTTATATATCCTCCCAGATATACATATTTGATTTTTTGCCCTCACATACATACTTTACATATTTAAAACATTATTTTCATTGGATAGATGCCTAGAAGTAGGTGAAAGGTTAACATAGTGGTACATGAGCAGGCTAAATAGCCATCTCAGACGGTGGATAAAGAAAAATTGAGCCCAGCCAGCATGGTTCAGTGGTTAAGCAACAACCTATGAACCGGAAGGTCATGGTTCTATTTCCAGTCAGGGCATATGCCTGGGTTGCGGGCTCAATTCCTAGTGTAGAACGTGCAGGAGGCAGCTGATCAACGATTCTCTCTCATCATTGATGTTTCTATATCTCTCTCTCACCTCCTTCCCTCAATGAAAATACATCTTTTTAAAAAAAGAAAAAAGTAATTTTTTAAGGAAAGGGGATGGAGGATGGGATAGCGAAAGGGAAGGGCTGCACAGCACCGAGCCAAGAGGACATTGGGTCGATGATGGTAGTACTCTGGAGCTGGAGTTTCATCCTTACAGGCAGTCACTGGCAGGAAACTTTTGTCATCAGTGGGTTTGGGGGCTGAGCTGGTGGGCTTGGAATGCAGGTGGAATGCAGGTGTGCGATCAGGTGTCTTTAGAATAGTTTCAGCCGAAACCCGTTTGGCTCAGTGGATAGAGCGTTGGCCTGCGGGCTGAAGGGTCCCATGTTCGATTCCGGTCGGAGGCATGTGCCTGGGTTGCGGGCACATCCCCAGTGGGAGATGTGCGGGAGGCGGCTGATCGATGTTTCTCTCTCATCGATGTTTCTGGCTCTCTGTCTCTCTCCCTTCCTCTCTGTAAAAAATCAATAAAATATATTTTTAAAAAAAAGAATAGTTTCAATTCCCTATGTGGTGTGATTCCTGGTAGCCAGCAAGTTTTCCTGGTCTTTTGTTCTCCTATGGTGGGAAGCTTACAAATGGCCGTTAAGGATCATAATGCCCTGTAGTCCTAACAGTAGGATTACTTTATCAGTGGATATGCATTTTTTAAACATTTCCAAAAATTTTTTTTCTAAACACTTAATTTCTTAGAGCAGTTTTAGATTCAAAGCAAAATTGAGAGGAAGGTACAAAGATTTTCCATATACCCCCCTACCCCACACATGCCTAGCCTCCCCATTATCAACATCTCCTACCAGAGTGGTACATTTGTTTACTACTACAACCCCTTGCTTAAATTAATTTTTCTTTATTTAAAAGATATATTTTCATTGATTTCAGAGAGGAAGGGAGGAGAGAGATAGAAGCATCATAAATGCACTTTGGAATGCACTTTTAAAAGTATATGTCGCTAAATCTCCTCTCCTCACCCCAAACCCCAGTAAACCAATTGGCACCCACTTGTTTACCAACAATAAAGTGGACACAAAAATAATACGTGCTCTCTGCAGAAAATCTAAAATTGAGAAAATAAATAGAAATAAATTTTAAGTAGTCTGTTAGCCCCAATACCTAGAGAGAACACTTTTGGCCATGTGGTGAACTTAATTTCAGCATGTAATTTCTACTGTTTTGAAGTGGATGTAGGATAAAAATGGAGGAAAATCTTTTTCCGTGTTGGTGAAGCACAAAGTACAATGGCTATGCCAATAAATTAATTCACTCATAGTCCTTTTTCCAGGAATTTAGTTGAGAAATCTTTACCTGTCGGAGATGGGAACGAGATTGGGGGTGAAAAAGGTGAAGGGATTTATAAGTACAAATTGGTAGTTACATAATAGGGGGATATAAAGTACAACATAGGGAATACAGTCAATATTGTAATAACTACATATAGTATCAGATTTATTACGGTGTTCACTTCAGAAGTCAAATAAATATCTAATCACGGGGTTGTACACCTGAAATTAATATAATATTGTACTCAACTGTAATTTAAAAATAAAAAAAATATGTAATTTAAAACTTTACCCTGTCAGATCTTTGGACCAGCAATTTAGCATTCTCACCTCCATGGCAACCCAAGGTTCCTTCGCCACCCCCCTAAGTGATTGATAACAACTGCATCCAATAGAATACTTTCATTTGCGATTTCCAACCAATCGAATGGAAGCAGGGGCCTTGGGGCGTTACCACCGATGCAGATAGGGGCAGCGTCTTCCCTACGTCTGTCCTACGTCATCAGTCCGCGCTAAGGGCACGTTGGGCCCGCTTCGCTCAAGAGAGTCGTTACTTTGTTGTCGCCGACAATGAGCTGCGCCCGGTGGGTGGCGTCTGGCTCCCGGTGGCGGCTGTGCTCCGGTGCCCCGCGACCCCTGTCAGGTAAAGTGGGAGCGGGGCTGCGGCCCCGCGCTGGGCGGGAAGCCCGGGGATTTTCGCCTGGGGTTTGGACCGCCGAGGTCACGGGAGAGACGTTTACAATAACGTCACAGGCCTGCGACGGAGCGCGGCTGCGAGACTTGAAACACGGGGCGCTGACGGCTAGGGGGCCCTGACGGCTAGTGCGCCGCGGGATGCGGGCATGGCTTTTCGCAGGGACTCTCCGGGGCGGCCTCTAAGGGTTGGCGCGTTGGGGAATGGCACACCTGTGCCGTCACGTCACTGCAGGTGTCGGAGCGCCCGGCGAGGACACTTGTGGGCTTTGAAAGTTCAGTGCCCCTGGGTGTCCTCGGGGCTGGTCAGGCAGAGTGCAGTCCCGCGCCCGGCGCCCGCTTCCCCCATCCCCACCCCGAGCTTGTTAGACGCGCAGGGTCTTGGGTCCCTCACGGACCTGCTGGGCCGCTCTGCCAGCCGGTAGTGCTTTAACACGCTCTTGGGCGGAACCGTGTACTTTAGTAGGAAGTTTGAGAAGCACCCGGGTAGTTGGAGGAGCATCGAATGGGGAGCAGGGAGGCTTGGGTTTGGGTCCTGGCCTCTCTTCTTGGTTCACCTGAGCTGCCTAGGAAAATGGGGAGGTCGCTTCCTGCAAGTGAAGTCGTTCGTGTGCCACCTTCAGGATTTTGCCTCATAGCAAAATCATGTACTTTTGATTATTCAATATATTTTATAACCGTATTCCATTTTTAAATTAAATCGTTTCAGGGAAACTAAGTCCTTATGGTAAACAGAAGACCCGAATTGCCTGCCCCAAATCAAGTAATCAATACACTGAAACCAAAAAGTTATTAAACTGTGTTAGATACTGTGGCCTACCAAGGCCTGAGCCCAAGACCATCTCTTTTCCTGGTAAAAGAGGGAGATTAGCCCTAGCCGGTTTGGCTCAGTGGGTAGAGCGTCGGCCTGCAGACCGAGGGGTCCCGGGTTCGATTCTGGTCGAGGGCAGGTACCTCGGTTGCATGAGGCAACCAATCCATGTGTTTCTCTCACTTCGATATTTCTCTGTCCTTCCCTCTCTATTCCACTCTCTGTAAAAATCAATGAAAAAATATCCCCGGGTGAGGATTTAAACATTTTTTTAAAAAGGGAGATTACCAAGTGTTAGGATTTGTCAGCTATAAACAGACCAGTGTCCTTGATTAAATCAAAAGGATTAGAAGAGAATTTAAAAGAGAATAACTCTTACCACATGGGCATTATTTAATGTACGATCATAAGCCATGTAAAATCTTCCCATATACCACTTAAAGTCTTCTGGGTAACATTATTGGTATATGTTTCACACTTTGGAAAACACAAATAAAAAAACAGTGCATTTGAGAGCTTCTACCACTGGCTTTCAAGTTTAATTTATTTTTTTAAAGTGTGTGACAATACAGGCAAAACTCATAGGATTGTTGATCATGGATTGTAATGCTTCTTTGTTGAGCCAGTGGGCATAACAGAATAAGAATCTTTTTTCATTTATAAAGTTACCTTGCTTCCTGTATCTCATTTTATCTTCGTGGTACACCTGCAGTGACGTGACGGCACAGGTGTGCCATTCCCCAAAGCGCCAACCCTTAGAGGCCGCCCCGGAGAGGCCCTGCGGAAAAATAAATAAAAAAAGAAAGGTTTTGTTATTGCATGTTTCCCTTAAAAGGGTAATAACCTGCTTATTACCAATTTGTATGTAAGAAATGGCAATTCTTATTTGTCCAAAGTTAGTGTTTTGAGACAAAACACATATTTTCTGGCCCTACCTCTGTGCGTTTTCTTTTCTTTTTTTTAAATATATTTTATTGATTTTTAACAGAGAGGAAGGGAGAGGGATAGAGAGGCAGAAACATCGATGAGTGAGAAACACCGACCAGCTGCCTCCTGCACACCTCCTACTGGGGATGTGCCCGCAACCAAGGCACACGCCCTTGACCGGAATCGAACCTGGGACCCTTCAGTCCGCAGGCCAACGCTCTATCCACCGAGCAAAACCGGTCTTGGCCTCTGTGCGTTTTCTAAGGTCCCTTCATGCTTAGTAAAGACGCCTTGCAGAGATTGTGAAAAGATAGAAATGGCAAATATTAGGATACTCAATTCTCCACGTTACTTCTCATCCCAGATCATTTATTAGGTGTCTGAATCTGGAAAGGTGGTACAGGCCTAGGGGACAATCTAGTATGTTTTTAATCTAAATAAAATCCTACCCACAAAAAGTCAGCTGTGTGTTGGAATTCATCCTATGTATTTTTTAAAAAGTGTATTTGTGTGTGTGTGTGTGTGTGTGTTTTTTAAATGAGTACTGGGATGTCTGTAAAGTTCTTTCCCATTGCCATGTTTTGGGGTGGGAGTAACAAAAGAAAGAACAAGCAAACAAGATTAATTTGAGAAGTAGAGCCAGCTCATCATTTTCAGCATCAATTCCTGGGTCAAGTTTTTGCCCCATCCTATATAATCCTATATAATAAAGAGCTAATATGATAGTTAGACCGGGCAGCAGAACGACCGACCATCTAGAAGGACCAGTGGGTGGGGCCATGGGGCCGTGAGGCAGCCAGGGCTGTGAGGGCCAATTCCCTTGCATGAATTTCATGCATCAGGCCTCTAGACTTTCTATAAGAAGGTCAGATTGATGCAAGCACCAGTCTTTGGACTAGGAGGCAGAAACTTGCAAGAGGCTACCTTGACTTTATCAAATGTCTAAAATTGTTCTCCACATAAAAATATGGCCACAGTTAACACTGACCCATTGTCAGAAGGCACAGAAGACATGGTTGTCATACATAAGGCTTGGAACACATCTCAAGGTGATACCAATACAGGTTAAAGTTCACTTTAAATATTTTCTCTGGGTCTCCATTTCCATATCTGCAAAATGGACTGAAAACAGCTTACATGCCTAAACACATTACAAAACTCTTCTCAGGGAAAAACACTTTTGGGATGCCGCCATATGAGGCTCAGAATACAAATCCAGGTGTCACTATTAGCAAATTTTTAAAGATAATATCTAATCTGTCCTGAAGAATTTACATTTTGAAGGCAAGAATAATTCAGTTGAATTGGATCTGTACCATAATGAGATGAAACCTAAGTTCTAAGGCTTATTTCTCAAAATCAGATGCTCATGGATATGGGTATTTTAAGAGAATTTAAATCTATGGTTCTCAACCTTGGCTGCAGAGAAGATTCATGTACAGAGCTTTTTCACAATATCAGTGTCTCCTTCCAGAAGTCAATTGGGGAGGAGCATTCATGGTTTTGAAAGCTCCCTAGAAGGTTCTGGGTAGTCAGGGTTGGGAACGAAGTGGGCCCGGAGGGGTGAGTGAACTAGAGAACCATGCCTATCTAGAGCCAGCTGCCACATCAACTGCCTTAAGAGAAGTCAGACTCAGCATTTCCCTATCTTCATACACTTAAACCAGAAATCCAGATATTTAGCTAAAGTCTTTTAAGCGTAGGTAACATTCGCTTCTTTTAAAAATCAATACTGCAGGATAAACAATACACTTAAGGGCATGTCAACCTAGGGGAACTCACTTGTTACCTTTGTTCTAAGGTGCCCCTTTCTTCTGTCTGTAAAAGGAAACATCTCAATTTTACTTGAGAGTAATGAAGAATAAACACTTGCATTGCAGCTTATGGAAGAAGAATCAGTGTCAGATTTTGCAGCTCAAGAATGACTTTAGACAATATCAATCGGGCAGCTGTGGATCGAATTATCCGTGTGGATCATGCAGGTGAATATGGAGCAAACCGCATCTATGCAGGGCAGATGGCTGTCCTGGGTCGCACAAGTGTCGGGCCAGTCATTCAGGTGGGCGCTGCTTTATATCTCTCAGCCTGGTCTACTGAACAGGGCTTACGGGGGTGGAGACCCAAAGGCCTTCAAGTAATGAATCATATTAGGTCATGTATTCTTAGGGGACATACCCTTTTCCCCAAATGAGTAAAAATTGGATATTGGGGAGAGAAGAGTGAAAAGGATATTATTATTTCAATGTATAGAGCACAGATGGACATCCTATATAATAAAAGCCTAGTATGCTAAGTGTCTGACCGGTCGTTCAACTCTTTGACCAGTCGCTGTGACGCACACTGATCACCAGGGGGCAGACGCTCCGACTGGTAGGTTAGCTTGCTGCTGGGATCCGGCCGATTGGGACAGGCCGCACATGCCTTGGACGAATCCGTGCACTGGGCCTCTAGTTTAGTACATAAACAGATAATATGGTATATCTGTAGTAGTAAATTTTTATAGTGGGGGTGGGTGATAATGAAAAAGGGGTCGAGTCCTAGCTGGCTTGGCTCAATGGATAGAGCATCGGCCTGCAGACTGAAGGGTCTCGGGTTTGATTCCGGCCAAGGGCACATGCCCGGGTTGGGTCCTCGATCCCTAGTAGGGGGCATGCATGAGGCAGCCAATCAATGATTCTCTCTCATCATTGATGTTTCTGTCTCTCCCTCTCTCTCCCTCTCTGAAATCAATAAAAAATATTTTTTTAAAAAAGAAAAGAAAAAAGGGTTGAGAAACACCTTTAGGTTAGAGTACCAGTTGCTGAGAGGTTGCACTCCGGCCCCCATTGGAGCCCAGAGAGATATTTTATACTGAGAAGCAAAAGGAGAGACCTTGGCTTTGTACTCACACAGACCCAGCTTCACATTTCAACTCTCTCCCACCTGCTACTGTGTGACCTTGGGGAAGTCACATAAACTCTAGGTCTTCACTTCCATATCTGCAGAATGGGCTGATAACACCTACCGCATTGGGTTTTAGTGAGGAATAAATGGCTGGTATAGAGCAGCTGATACCATGCCTGGCATGTAAGAGACGCTCAGCATAAGTTAAATTGCCTTTTCTGAGTCCTCAGGCAAGTTACTTAACCTCTCTGTGCCTCCCTTTCCTCATCTGTATAATGGGGATAATAATGGTTTGTCCTTCACGAAGCGGTTGTGCAGCTTAAATGAGTTGCCTACGTTAAGCTACTTGATAGTGTGCCTGGCAGTTAGGAAGTGCTGTGTGTTAGCTGCTATTATCATCCACCCTTTCTTCTCTGATATACATGATACTTATATACTAGCAATCTGGAAGGAAATTATACGATACCTAATATTCTGCCCTCCTAATTTTAAATGAGCTAAACATCTCATTTCTTATGAGTATGTCTCCTCATCCTTTAGGCCAGCGGTTCTCAACCTGTGGGTTGTGACCCCTTTGGCGGTCGAACGACCCTTTCATAGGGCTCACCTAAGACCATCCTGCATATCAGATATTTACATTACGATTCATAACAGTGGCAACATTACAGTTATGAAGTAGCAACAAAAATAATTCTATGGTTGGGTCACAACATGAGGAACTGTATTTAAAGGGCCAGAAGGTTGAGAACCACTGCTTTAGGTACTTTGTGGGTCTGAGGGCTTCTGCTAGAATCATGGTTCATGGATAGGGCATGTAGCTTCCTTGGGATACAGCGGTGGCCTATATGGAATGCCTACATGTTTTTATTGTTATGTTTCTTACAGAAAATGTGGGATCAAGAAAAGGACCACTTGAAAAAGTTCAATGAACTGATGGTTGCATTCAGGGTCCGGCCGACGATTCTGATGCCCTTTTGGAACGTGGTGGGGTTTGCATTAGGTGCGTGTCTGTCCAGAAGAGCTTATGGGAGCTGAAAGGTCTGAGATGAACATATCCTTTAAGTGCCACTTCACAATTCTTGCTGTGTCCTTCTACGGCCTTTTTTTTTTTTTACTTAATATTTTTCTAAAGTTAAATTGGCTGACCTTTTTTTTTTTTTTTTGCTTAAATTTATTTAAGATAGACTCTCAAAATCAGTAGTTTTATAAATAAAAGGTACAGTAAAAATAGATACAACGGGGGGAAACAAAGCTAGACTAATTCAGTTGTAGCCAGATAATATTTCCTGGCAAAGCTGCTCACTCTTAACAAGGGAGAAAAGTAAATGGTGTAGGAGAATCAAAGACGTACCCCAAATGACGACTTTCTCCTTGCCATAATCAGGTTAGGGAGATCATTGAAAGAGAATAGCCTTCTTACTGCATTAGTCAAGGTTTAACCTGGTACCCCCTAAACAGTGGTTTTCAATGGGGTCAAATTGCTCTTGAGGACACTTGGAATACCTAAAGACATTTTGGTGTCATATCTGGGAATGCTACCAGCATCTTATGGGTAGAGGGCAGGGATGGTGCTGAACATACTACGATGCATGGGACAGCCCTCACAACAAGGGATTGGTTATCCAGCCCCAGGGTTTGTAATGTTCTCCTTCAGCAGTGGAGTCAGTCCCATCCTTGACTGCTCTGGATCTAACCATTCCAGGCGCAGGAACCGCCCTGCTTGGGAGGGAAGGAGCGATGGCCTGCACTGTGGCCGTGGAAGAGTCCATAGCACATCACTACAACAACCAGATCAGGACACTGATGGAGGAGGATCCTGAAAAATATGAGGAGCTGCTTCAGGTATTTGACTACACTCTGAAAGGGGCTGGTAAAGGAGGGAAGGGGCAGACATGCAGTTTGGTAAGAAGAAGAAAAATAGAATGTTAGGAAATGGTGGGACCTTAGAAATCTAGGTCAGCACCTCATTTTAAAGGCAAGCAAACTAAGGTACTGAGAGCTGAAGCTGTGTGCCCTGGTCACATGCTTGGGCAGACGCCAGAACCCCATGTTTTCTGAGCTCGGACCTGTATTCTCCCATTTCTGGATTATTGGTAGGTCCTGAGCAAATGCTGTTAAATAAATGAACTAAAAGATACCCTCAGATTTTAAAAAACAAATAACAATCAATTTTTTAAATCTTTAAAAAATAAATAAAATGAAAGATACTCTCAGATAATTTTTCACAGCAGGTAAGGGAACAGATACAGGTCTGGCTTTTTAAATTTATTTTTTAAAAATATTTTTATTGATTTCAGAGACGAAGGGAAAAGGGAGAGAGAGAGAGAGAGAGAGAGAGAGAGAGAGAGAGAGAGAGAGAGAAACATCAGTGATGAGAGAGAATCATTGATCGGCTGCCTCCTGCATACCCCCTACTGGGGATTGAGCCTGCAACCCAGGCATGTGCCCTTGACCGGAATCGAACCTGGGATCCTTCAGTCTGCAGGCCAATGCTCTATCCACTGAGCCAAACCGGCTAGGGCAGCCCTAGCTTTTTTTAAAGCCTAAATCGGGTTGGTAAACTACGGCCTGTGACTGACCACTTGTTTCTATAAATAAAGTTTTGTTGGAACACAGCTACACCCACTTGTTCACATGTCCATGGCTGCTGTCCCCTCTACAATGGCAGAGTTGAGTAGATATGATAGGGACCATACAAAGCTTAAAATATTGCTTCTGTCTCTTTATAGGAAAAGTTTACTTACCCCTGTCTTAGATAATAATATGAGTTTTTAGTCTCACCCGGAGAGTTGGAATGCTGACTTCTATTTCTTTTTATTTAACCAGGTGATAAAGAAATTTAGGGATGAAGAGCTTGAGCACCATGACATAGGCCTGGAACATGATGCAGAACTGGTGAGGACCTACCTTTACTGTTGCTTGTGGTGCTTTGGTTACCTTATTTGGAAGGCTGAGGGGTGGGAAGGTTTCGGTTCCCAAAAAATAGATTTCAAAGTGACTGCCAAAGGAAGAAAACGAATACACTGCTTTGACCAAGAGCAAGCTCCCAATTGGGAATCTTCTTGCTTCCTCCGTATCATTTTCCCTGGCAGCTCCTTTTCCCTTTCCAGTGAGAAACCAGATGACTCAATGCTTTGGCAGTAGCAGAGGCATTCTAATCTTTTGAATAGTTCACCCCCCCAAATTAAAACGGATTATCTCTTAGATCTTCTTTCTTATCCAGAGAAGTCTCAGTCCTGCCAGGCAGATCTCACAAGTAAAAGTGAACATAGCCCAACCGGTGTGGCTCAGTGGTTGAGCATCGACCTGTAAACCAGGGGGTCATGGTTTGATTCCCGGTCAGGACATGTGCCTGGGTTGCGGACTCAATCCCCAGTGTGGGGCATGCAGGAGGCAGTTCCTCTCTGAAATCAATTAAAAATATATATATATTTTTAAAAAGTGAACATAGAATGTGTTTCTTTTGTCTGCTTATTGTCTTTAACAGGCTCCAGCATATGCCATTTTGAAGAAGGTTATCCAGGCTGGATGCAGCGCAGCGATATATTTGTCAGAAAGATTTTAAGGTATGACCACTTTTCCCTGTCTATAAAAGATGATAGTAATTTAACAAGTGGTATTGGTAGAAAAGGAAATGTACAATATTGTTACTGAGCAAGAGCTACTGTCCCACATGCATAGGAGCCAATACTGTGACGTCATCTTTTGAGAAAAGAAAAGGCTTTAATTGTGAGGTCCACCAGCCATGAGACTGGAGGTGAGCTCAGATCTGTCTCCCTGATGAGGGTTTTTGGGCTACAGTTAAAGGAAGGAGCAGGGGGATTTTTGCATATTTAGAGAGTTACATTGATTTAACATAATAAGAGCCTAGGACGCAGGTGCTTGGGAATCACAGCTTTTCGTGCATTGAATGTTTGAATTTGCGGGTAAGGGTTTGTAGTCCACAGTGGATTTTGACCCGGTGACTTTGAAAAGTTATTTTAGGGTAAATTTTTTCTTTAGTGTGTTGTCCTACTATTCCAGTACATGGTCTGCAGTCTTATTCTGCTAACTCTGAAAAACAACTTAGGCCGAAACCGGTTTGGCTCAGTGGATAGAGCGTCAGCCTGCGGACTGAAAGGTCCCAGGTTCGATTCCGGTCAAGGGCATGTACCTGGGTTGCGGGCACATCCCTAGTAGGAGATGTGCAGGAGGCAGCTGATCGATGTTCCTCTCTCATTGATGTTTCTAACTCTCTATCTCTCTCCCTTCCTCTCTGTAAAAAATCAATAAAAATATATTTTAAAAAAAAGAAAAAAAAAGAAAAACAACTTAGTATCTCATTAGGAACAGAACAAGGCCAGTTTATGATGAGTTTTGTTAAACTGCAAGAGGCTTGTTTTTTAATAAAACTCTCCAGTGTTGATTTTTGTGTATGGTGTAAGGCTGACAGTGCACCAGGTGCATTCAAATTTCAGCAAACAAAGCTGGTCAGTGTTTGGTCCATAGCTAATTTTTTCCTAAAACATCAAGAATAAATTATTAAGAAAGTAATAGGAATCTAAAGAAAAAATTTGAGTTTACTGGTAACAAAAGGAAATTGAAAACACAAGGGTATTTAAGTTTGACACAAAGGAAGGCTGTCAAGTTCATCAGGTAAGTGGAAGACTCATTGTTTCTATTTTGAATTGTGGATTGGAGGCGGGTTACTTCCACTGGAGAATGTACTAAATTGTGAATTATTTGTGAATTTGCATTATAATAATTTTCTTTAGGGCTGTTACCAAAAAATGGACCAAAACAGACTAAACTTTTCATACTGTGTTGAAGTCTTATGTGATCTGCACATCCTATATAATAAAGAGGTGATATGCAAATTGACCATCATTCCAACAGACAAGATGGCCACTCCCATGTGGACACAAGATGGCCAGCAGAGGAGGCCTTTTCCCGGCGCCCAGCCCACCGGGGGGGGGCAGTTGGGGGCAACCAGGCCCCCAGGGGAGACCAAGGGGGGGGGGGGTGGGGGAACAGGGCCTGCAGGGGAGGGTAGTTAGGGGTGACTGGGCCAGCAGGGGAGGGCAGTTGGGGGGGGGGGACCAGGCCGGAAGGGGAGAGCAGTTAGGGGTGACCAGGTCGGCAGCTAGGGGCATTTGTGCTGGCAGGGGAGCAGTTAGGCGTCGATCAGGCTGGCAGGGGAGTGGTTAGGGGGTAATCAGGCTGGCAGGCAGAAGTGGTTAGGGGCAATCAGGCAGGCAGGAGGGCAGGCAGGTAGGTGCGCGGTTGGGAGCCAGCAGTCCTGGATTGTGAGAGGGATGTCCGACTGCCCGTTTAAAACAGGCAGTCGGACATCCCTTGAGGGGTCCCAGATTGGAGAGGGTGCAGGCTGGGCTGAGGGACACCCCCCACCCCCCGACACCCCATGCATGAATTTTGTGCACCAGTCCTCTAGTTTTAAAATAATTTATGAAAAACCTAGATCAGTAATTCTCCTCTCTGGCTGCACATTAGAATGTCCTGAGGAGCTTCTTCCAGGTGGTAAACTAAAAATTCAGGATTAGAGTGGGGCCCAGGATCAGAATGGTTTCCAAAGCTCCTAGGTGATTCTAATGTGAGTCAGGACTGGGGACTCCTGGCCTACACTCTTAAGCTTCTTGTGGTGAAGAATTACAGCATTAAGGCTTTTGCCTTTCTGGGTTTAATCAGCACTGCCTGACGAGGCATGACTTGCCTCCAAGGGGTCCAGTTTTGAAGAATAGTGGACACTGGGATAGTTTGGTTTTAGTCAACTTCTCTTTTCCTAGAGCAACAGTGAGTTTAATTTATGTGATAAGTCAATCAGTCTTTTGATGATAATTGCAATAAGTTAAACATGGGAGAGAAAAGTCAAAGACAATTTAGATCCCCAACTCTTTAGTGCTAGGTTACAAACAGACACCTGCAGTGTAGTTTAGTGTAGTTGTTTAACAACTGAAAAGCCAAGTTTCTACACCAGCGGTTCTCAACCTGTGGGTCGCGACCCCTTTGGGGGTCAAACGACCCTTTCACAGGGGTCGCCTAAGACCATCGGAAAACACATAAATAATTACATGTTGTTTTTGGGATTAATCACTATGCTTTAATTATGTTCAGTTTGTAACAATGAAATTGGGGGTCACCACAACATGAGGAACTGTATTGAAGGGTCGTGGCATTAGGAAGGTTGAGAACCACTGTTCTACACAGTGACTGCTTCATGCCTACATTGTTTTATAAATGCTCATTTTATGTCTTTCCTATATAAGACCAAGAGCTTCTTGAGGGCAAATAATCTTTCCCAGTCCCTAATACATTGTAGGCACCCATTTAAAGGAAGGAAGACAGGAAGGAATGAAGGAGAAGGAGAAAGGACAAGGTGAGGGAAGGATCGAGATGTTATTAAGGCTTGGCCAGTGTTGCTCAATGATTGAGCTCAGTCAGGGCACATGCCCAGGTTGCAGGCAGCTATGGATCATTCTCTCTCATCATTGATGTTTCCATCTCCCTCTCCCTTCCTCTCTGAAATAAATAAAAACATATAAAAAAAATATCTTAAGCAATTGCAGAACTGCTATGAAAATGGCCTCCTAGGCTGTTCTCCCTCTCCCTTGGATCTCACTGCTGGTGGTATTTGTTCTTTGATCTTTGAAATGCTGGTAGTATTTACTGCCCTCATGTCAAAGCTAATTTTGTAAGTATTGCAGGCAGGAATCTTAGGCATCTGAAGGCACTTTGCACAATCCTTATTAAAAGCCCAGATTTGTTGCTGTTTGTTTAGCATCCCCTTCAGAATTGATGGCTGATGTTTTATGCTTGAGAGCTTCCAAAACAAGACCAGAGAGATTTTATGGATCTCCCTTTGGTTGTTTTTTATTTCATTACAGCTTGTCCTCGTGTATTAACAAGGTAATCTTGTCTTTCCCTTACTTTACTGCTCTGACCTTTCAGGGGAAATGTGATTTTAAAATTGGACATCATCCAAAGAATGCCAGCATGACAAAGGATGTTATTCTTGCAAGCAGTATTGTTCTTATTGTTCAGATTATTACATTTGTTCCTCTTCTCCCCCCCCATAACTCCCCTCCTTCCAGTTCCCACCCCACCCTCCGCCCTCACTCCCCACCCACTGTCCTCATCCATAGGTGCACGATTTTTGTCCAGTCTCTTCTCACATCTCCCACACCCCTTTCCCCCTCAAGAATGGTCAGTCCATTCCCTTTCTATGTCCCTGATTCTATTATAATCAACAGTTCATTCTGTTCATCAGATTATTTATTCACTTGATTCTTAGATTCACTAGTTGATAGATGCATATTTGTTGTTCATAATTTGTATCTTTACCTTTTTCTTCTCCTTCCTCTTCTTAAAGGATACCTTTCAGCATTTCATATAATACTGGTTTGGTGGTGATGAACTCCTTTAGCTTTTCCTTATTTGTGAAGCTCTTTAGCTGACCTTCAATTCTGAATGATAGCTTTGCTGGATAAAGTAATCTTGGTTGTAGGTTCTTGGCATTCATCACTTTGAATATTTCTTGCCACTCCCTTCTGGCCTGCAAAGTTTCTGTTGAGAAATCAGCTGACAGTCGTATGGGTATTCCCTTGTAGGTAACTGAGTTTCTTTCTCTTGCTGCTTTTAAGATTCTCTCTTTGTCTTTTGCTCTTGGGATTTTAATTATGATGTGTCTTGGTGTGGTCCTCTTTGGATTCCTTTTGTTTGGGGTTCTCTGTGCTTCCTGGACTTGTAAGTCTATTTCTTTCACCAGGAAGGGGAAGTTTTCTGTCATTATTTCTTCAAATAGGTTTTCAATATCTTGCTCTCTCTCATCTTCTGGCACCCCTATAATTCTGATGTTGGTACACTTGAAGCTGTCCCAGAGGCTCCTTACACTATCTTCGTATTTTTGGATTATTTTTTCATTTTGCTTTTCCGGTTGGGTGTTTTTTGCTTCTTCGCATTTCAAATCTTTGACTTGATTCTTGCGCTCCTCTGGTCTGCTGTTGGGAGTCTGTATAATATTCCTTATTTCAGTCCGTGTATGCTTAATTTCTAGTTGGTTCTTTATCACAACATCGAGGGTCTCATTAGATTTCTTGTAGATCTCAATAAGTTTATTGGCGGCTTCTAGACAGTTCTTGAGAGACCTTAAAAGTGTGGTTCTGAACTCAATATCCTCCATTGACAGTTTTGTCCTGTTTCTTTGTCTCCACATTTTTTATGCTTTCTTGGTGCACCCCCTAGTGGTCTTTGTGCGCAGTCTTGTTGTAGTTAAGCCTTGATTGTTGTAGTTAATACTAGGGGGATTTGACCTCCAGGCCAACTGGCTGTGAGAATCAGCTGTGTCTGCAGTGGGAAAACTTCTGTCCTCTGGGGAGGTGCTAATCTAGCCTTTGCCTGAGGCTATCCGGCAAATGGCTCTGCGCAGGGCTTGGGCGGGGTGGGTCGCACGGGATCAACAGGGCTGGTGGAGGGAGCAGTTATGGCTGCTCTCAGTCCAGCCCCCAGAGGCTCTGCCTCTCAGAGTCCCAGCAACCACTGCAAACCTCAGAGAGAAAGCTGCCCTCGCGTT